CGAAAAAGATCAAGACAAGTTTCCATTCTGATAATAATTTCTGCTCGTTCATTGAATAATTACATTCTATCAAGGACCCATATTCCCCGATTCTTTTTTTTTAATTTTAATTTGATCGATTTTATCGCCATTATCAGCAACAATAAAAATCAAACCACCCATAGAATCGCATCATTTGGGGCGTGGAGATCTGATTAATATTTTTCAGATGAGGATTAATATAGATATAATAACTTTTACTTCTTAATTTTGAATAGCCAAACAATTATTACAATAATGAAAAAATGAAAACGAAATATGGTGATAGTGAAATTGACGACGAAGATGGTAATCAAAGTAATAAGGATTTGTTTATAAAAACCGTTCATTTTGGAATAAAAAATCTCAATTTTAGAATAAAGGTGATTTACAAGTTTTCATCTTGGAAATAAAATTTCAGTATAAATATCCTGAATGCTTTTCATATTTTGAAAAATAAAAATTGTGGGTTAAGAGATTCAAATATTATTTATTTTGAGGACTTTAATTTTATTTTTTTCCTTTAATGACTTTATTTAAAATTGAATATACAGTAATAATAAGAAAAAAGGAAATGTAAATATTCTGCCACAAATTGTATATTGTTTGGGGGTCATAGAAGCGCGCCCGTTTTCTTTTCTGTGCAACATTGATGCTTGCGATTATCAAGGAAAAGTAAAAGAATAGCCTTCAATAAAGGCAGAAAGGTTTTCAACGGCAAAAAAACTATCGAAGGAGTCAAAAATCAAGAAATTACTGAAGATGTGAAAGACAAAAGACTAAGGAAAGGGGGCTATTGGAAATTTAGCAGTTAAAATTAAGGGAGCTGCTAAAGGTGTAAAAACAAAGGCACAGGAATTACTTTGAAATGCAAAGAAATAAACTAGGAGTTTAATTGATAAGGCTAAAGAAGTTGTCAAAGGTGTAAAATAAATGTTTTCCAAGACGGAAAATGATGGTATAATATATTGGCGCCATTCACCGTCTACTTCATCTAGATCCAACCAAAAAAATTTATCTTGAAATGTAAAATCGTATGTTAAACATATTCATGGTTTTACAAAAATCGATCTCTAGTTGTGTCGTTACGGTGAACCCTATCAATTTGTTTTTAAATAAACTGTTACTCGTTACTGTTATAAGATCTTGTTGATCAAAATAATTTTTATCAATATATGGAAAGGAAAATTGTCACATAATGATGGCAAAAAACATTGATAAAATCTATATTTTAACAAAATTTAATAAATTCTTTACTTCAAAAGATTTTGGCTTACAAGTAACGACGAAATTACCAAAATTTTATTTTAACAATG